AGCCGTGGGCGCCGCTGCAGGACTCCGCCGTGTATCTGGCGTCGCTGGGTGAGTGCGCGTCTCCGCCCGCCCCGAAGTGCCTGGCCGCGCCTGCTGCTGCCCCTGCCCCGCCCGGCGCCCACCCTCAAGTGGCAGCTCTCGCGGCTTCGTCTGCAGAAGAGGAGGCCCAGGGGATTTAATAGCAGCCTTCAGCTACCTAAAAGGCAGCTCCAAAGAGGAAGGAGCTACACTGTTCTCAGTTGTGGTAGATGATAGCACAAGGAGCAAACGCCTCACGTTGCAGCAAGTGAAGTTTAGGTTAGATATTAGGGAGAGCTTTCTCACTAGGAGGGTAGTAAAACACTGGAACGGGTTACCCAGAGAGGTTGTGGACTCTCCATCTTTGGAGGCTTTTAGGACCCCGCTAGATACAGCCTTGGCTGGGATGATGTAGTTGGGGATGGTCCTGTTTTGAGCGGGGGGTTGGACTAGAGACCTCCTGGGGTCCCTTCCCACTCATTTTCTATGATCCTATGAAAGCCAAGGCCTGGTCTGTTTTGAAGGCTGCCCTGAGTCCAGCATGGGGTGCCCTCCATCTCCATGACCGGGGAAAAAACCCAGCAGCAATACTTTCACAAGCCCTGTCCACAAGAGACATCTAAACAAAGATGCCAGTCACAGAAGTGTGCAAATCTTCATGAGAATCCATCCTCTCTTCCTCGCACTCTATGTAGTAACTTCAGCTGGCAGTCAGTCTGCCTTCCTGTTTGATCAGTTGTTAATTAGTTGAAAGTGTGTTGCTATTGTCACTAGGATTCAAAATCCATTCCCTTTTGCAACTAATAGCAATTTGCTCCTCTCTGAATTTGAAAATATAGAAACTCCCATGTTGTTACTGCCTCAGACTGCCTGCACACTTGGGCAGACATCACTACAGGGTGGACAGCCTTTGCTTTCGTGAAGGCTGGAGCAGCGGTTCCCAAACTGGGTCGCACCTCCAAATGGGGTTGCAGCATCGGTGGATGGGGTTGTGGGGTTGAGGGGTTGGGAGTCGGGGGCCACGCTGAGGAAAAGTTTGGGAAGCACTGGGCTAGAGGTTTAACTTGCTTTTAAATAACGATTTAAATTCTGGAATATAAGAGGACAGCCTCCAAAACAAATGCCTACTTACTGTGCTACAGTAAGCTGGCCTAGTTAGATTTCTTTGCATGACACTGCTTATTGTCAAAACTACATATGCAAATTCAAAAAGAAATACAGTAAAATCCCTGTTTTTTAGCATTCTAGCCGGCGTACTATATTAGCTGGCACCCCACCACTGCCACCGTGCCACCACCATCCACCACACTGCGCCGCTGCCGCCATGTACAACCACCTTGTGCTGCTGCTGCTGTCCACCACCCCATGCCACTGCCATGTGCAAGCGCCCCCCCCCTGCTATTTTTAGCT